TGTAATTCATGCACAAAAGAGATGTGCACGGCGTTCATATGTCTGTTTTTATTCTTCACTCTGCTCCTATGCCAATACTACAAATTGTGTGAGTGACAATTTCCAATTTAACTACCTGGCTTCATATGCTCAGTCAGATATAGAGCAGAGCTCTTGAGATAGGCACTAGGGATATACAAAGACAGCAGCATTACAAGCTGCTCAATTATCATTCCTCAATAAACACTTTTTAGGGTCCTTGGATGCAAAGTTTGGGCTTTGGAATCTTTCCATGTGAGCAAAGTTAAAGCTTTTTGATTGTGCCTCTGGACCCTATGGGATGGGCACCAGTCCGTAATGGCATGAGCTATGTTATGTCGATTGTGTTGACACTTTCATAGGTGACATGCACTTGGTCTGAGTCAATAAAATAGAGGGCCTGGAAGACCTTAAAGTCTTGTTAACCAATAGTTTGAAAGTATTTTTCTCTCAGTCCCTAAATAACAAAACGCTTGGCGCCCCTCACCTCATATTCATTGAAAGAGATTTTCACTAATAACCCTGTCTATTTCTTTTAGCAGCTCTTTGTAACAAATGATCACTTTCATAGAAAAGAGTTCTACAATGAACTTTGAAGATATGTCTTCAGTGCTAAGTAACAGAAAGCCTGGGAGGATGTTTGAACACTGGAGCTCTGACTGTCCAGACTGTTTTATTATTTGCTCTCTGCTGCCAGTTTTCTCCAAGACAATGCTGCTATAGAAGGGGCAGGACATGAGCGGGTCCATGTGACTGTCCCAGGACAGTAATCAGCCCTTAGGCCAATTAGATACAGTCTGAAAGGTTATAGAGCCATCTTTTCTTCTCAAAATAGAAAATATGCAGTAATTTATTCTGTTTCTATATGAATCAAATATAATCAATGAGCTTTGTGGCTGAATACTCCAAGGTTGTGCTGCCCAACAACTTCCAGTATTTCTAAATTTTGTTCTGCTCCCGTTGATATCAACAATCCCTCATTGTCACAAATGAGCCTGAATAACCTGCTGTCACCTCTCACAAGACTCAATTTATAGTATTCCAGGAAATTATAGTATTCCAGGAAATTTACAGTAAAATAATCATTTACATCACTTCTCAAGCCTTAGGATAGAAAGATAGAACTAATTGTAAGGGGCTGTAATGTCAGCTCCCTGCATTCTCTGCATAGACACCAACCCACATATCTCCATGGGAACAGTTGGAAAAACCGTTCAGTAAAGTAATTTTAAAAATTCTCTCTGGGCTGTGAACCTTGGAAAACTCTTGGGAATACAGGAGGTATTTCCTAGCAGAAATCTTTGCAACATGTTTGTTGTCTATGAAGTATAGCTGAATAAGCCTGTCTTAGGTGATGATATATGGAATCAGTACAGAGCATCAGTGACACTAATTTCTCTGTTAGACTGCAGTACCTCTCAACATCTTCAGTATGGCTTTATGAAATTGAATGAGGGCAGAATCTGGCCTGGTAATTATACCCCCTAAGCTGAATAAAGCCCAATTATGACCAGAAATATTAGTATTGTTACCCTGAGTCAAGACACCAGCCACTAAGGGACATAGGGATTACTATTCATCATTGAGGCAATGTAGATACTTTTGTACAACTATTCATCAAAGCAAATATTTTTAACTCTGTGTCTGTGTGTGTGTGTGTGTGTGTGTGTACATGGATTTTTACTTTCACATTAGCTGGGTTTTCTTCTTTCTTAATTCATTTTTCCTAATGCAAACAACTTATAGGAATAAAATGGAATAACTTTAGGGAAAGTTTCTCTTCTACCTTCATAAAAGACAGGAGTTCTCAGAGCATGCAATATCCCTACACAGGACTTGTACCTGCACATCCAGCCTCAAGTCCCTTCTGTTTCCCAGGCCTGTGAGGTAATGAGATGAAGAGCAGTTATTGTTAGGATAAAACCCAGCAGCAGAGAAAAATGTAGTTCCCTGTACCTACCATCATCATGAGTTCCCAGATCTCAGAATATTGTTATTTTCACCAGGTTGGCAGCCTAAGCACCAAAACCTTTTGTCCTGTCTGTAAGCTGTGAGCAGTTCAACAGCTGCCTCCACCTCCTCTATATTTATCCACAGAAGTCTCGTGGATGTCCCAGGATGCTGCCCAGTTGGTTGTGCAACACTCAAAGTCCCCGTTGTTACAAAAGAGACTCTTTCAGTTCCTCTCAGTAGGCTGCTATGCTATTGGCCTTCAAATCAAAAACAGACTCATCTGGGGTTCCTCTTATTCTTTTTAATGTGCCTTCTCCCTAGAGATGCCTCTCCACATTTAAATTGCCTTTCCTCTTTTGCCAGTGTTAATGTTATGCATTAGATATTTGGCACAGATGCAATATATATTTCCTCCCTCCTGATTTCAGCCTTTTGTTCCTAAATGAAAGCAGATTTCAGGGCATCCACCCCATGTGGCCAATCTTTCTGTGCTACACCTGCTTTCACCTCATGCAAAACACAGGGAATCATGAACAAAACATCTCCAAAAATGCCCATGTGCCACTTAGAAAACCCTTAATAAATTACCTGCAAACGTATGGCACTGCTCTGGGGTGCCTGCTCATGTACAAGCAAAAAGTGTACCTAACATGCATGTGTAGAGCAATGGAATGCCAACACTTGAAAAGTATTTTTCTGGATCATATCTTTCTGGTTTTCAAACTGTTCTTTAGACTATTAATACATTTTAGCTCTATTTTACCTTTCAGAACATGGGCAACATGATGTCCTAAGCCTCTTTTTAAAGTCTCACAACTCTAGAAAAAAGGTGATTATTGTTTACAGAACACTTTGTTTAAGAAGTTATTCCCCTCTTCTTGCTCCACCTGTGGGAGGAAAAGCAGTAGGAGTTGTTGCAGACAAAGTCAAACTCAGACAAGAATCTGAGGCAATAGTGGCAGTCACTGTGTCATACTTCTCCATGATGTCTCTGCTGATCTGGCACATACAACACCTCCACCACATTTACCATAACTGAACACATCAGGATCATTACAGAAAATGCTGAAATTTACCTAAATTTCAAGATTGCTTATCAAAAACACAGTACTTTTTCTTATCCCCTACATCCAGCAGCTTGCAAAAAAAACCAAACATATAATATTTGCTTTTGGTAGACTCTGCAAGTGTGTTTAGGTCTTTTCTGGTGTTAGTATGGTATTTTGTTTTGAAAACAAGATCTGTATTATTATTATTATTGATACTTCCTTTTTGCCTTTGAGGAAGTTCCCACTGCCCTCACTTGCATGGAGCAAGGCACCACCATGTTGTCCATGAACAACATGTAAAAATTAAGCATTTATTACACAAATTGACAGGGTTGTCAGTGTCAGTGTGTAAGAGGAATTTTCCAGATGGGGAGTTGAGCTGTGAGAAAATTGATTTAGCCAAAGTGCAGTTGAAGCCTGATCATATTTTTCTTACCCAGTAAGAAAAATGCCATGGTTTCATTACAGATGCATGGATAGCATATCATAGAATCACAGAATTAACAAGTTTGGAAAAGACCTTTGGGATGATCAAGTCCAATCTAGACCTAACACCACCTTATCAATTAAACCATGGTACTGAGTGCCTCATCCTGTCTTTATCAGTTTGTTGTATTGAGGAGGTAGAGGACATAAAGGTCCTTTGGGGAACTCTAACGCCAAAATCCTAACTACTGGAGGTTAATACTACAGCAAACTCGTTTCACTAAAATGATAGAGCCCCAGTGAGTGCATGTGTCCACTTGAGCTGCTGGAGGCAGGGATCAGGGGGAGCAGTTTAGTCACAGTTCAATGAGAAATCAGGGTCAGGCAGCAATGAGTCTGCAGCAGTGCTCAAGGATGTGGTAAATGATCTGCAGCAGCTGGAAACTGGAAAAAAATTGTGTCAATACTACATTTCAGAGAAGTAGTTTAAGGTAGAATTTTTCAAGATGAAAAATTCAGATTTTGGTTTTTTACTTGTAATGTATCAAGAAGGAGATGAGGACCGCAGCTGGTTAGACAGTTTTTCTAAATGTTTATAAGGTAATAAAAATCCACTGAGTGTGTTTGATCTTTCCTGTTAGTATCTTCATGTTTCTGTTGGAGATATACAAATCTTGCAAGCCAAATATTATCTGTATGAAACCTTTGTCCTAGTACTTTATCCTCCCTTGCAACATCATTCACATGTTAGCTGTTCTGTTGCCAAATTCTTCAAAACTCAAGTAACATCCCTTTTACTGACTCTCAGCCAAATCAAGTAACTGAATGCTTGCTGTGTTCTTTGGATTCAATTTATAAACTGCCACACAATGCTACTGACTAAATTTATTTCAGTTCTCCCATTTCCCCTTTTCCTCCCATATGGGCCAAACTTCCCCTCCTTTGCTGCTTTCCCTTACTCCTTGGGTGAATAACAACATATGTCTCAGTGAAACACAAACCCACCTGTTTTTAAACACTGTCACACCTCCTCCCCTAAACTCAATGTCCCAAAGTCCACATGTTGTATAGAAGGTAAAATCTGGTCTTGATTTTGAATGACCACAGATCTAGTCTGGCTTTTTTTCCCAGTTGGAGGGATGGAGATTCATTATGGTTGAGACAATTGGCATAGAAACAAAGCCTTTTATTCACAAAACAAAACAAAACAACAACACAAAAAACAACCAAACAACAACAACAAAAAAATCAACAAAAAAAAATTGGCTAAAATTTGCTATCTCAAATAACACAGTTTAAGGGAAATGGAGAATAAATCAAAGGCCATTGAAGTAAAGCACAAGTTTTCCATCAATTAAAAGACACTCAGTCAAGCCTTCAGAGTCCAGAACAAGCTCTATTTTTTGAAAGAATAGCTAAAGCTAATTTAATGAGACTCTACATATAAAACGTGTCAAGACCTAAAAGAGAAGATAAACTATTTTTTTTTCCTGGGATGGCCACAAGAACAGTGGCAGTCCAACAAAGCAGGATTATTTCAGGAAAGACGCTCACCTGTGAGAAATACTGTATACTCAGGTGTCTGTGACTTCTGCTGTTGCTGTTAAAACTGCCCCAAAAATATCATTAATCCAACTGGTATCAGTGGATACCACTTAAGAAAGCTCAATTTCTAAGACCTTCTTATAGGAAAGTATCAGTGATAGGGACCTCTGAAAGGACAAACCTCTTCCCGTTAATTATTTAAGGGACAAGGAAATGCCAAAGCTGCAGATGAGGAGGTAAAAAGAGGAAGGAACTAGTCTCAGAGCATTACAGCACAAATCTGTTGTAGAAAGGAACATACAGGTCCAGCTGGGAGGTTTGCCTCTGCAGATATGCCAGAAATAAGCCCCAACACTAACATTACAGCCATTACAGTTCCCTTCAGATTTAAATAGCACAACATAAAGCAGTTTATTTTTTTCCTCCAGAAATACTGCTACTACAGATTTTTAAAACAAAGTGGAAAGGACACTGTTACAAAAGACAAGAAAATAGGTGTTTGTAAAATATTGGATCCAGAAAAAGGAATAACATTTTTAGAAATCTCTTCAATTAGAAGATAGAATTTTGGATTACATATGTTTAGGCACAGGCTGAATCTGTCAGAAATGTAAATGCCTCTGCACTTTAAGTTCCTAAAGACCCATGCATGCTTTACATGTAGAACACACCTCTGAGATTAGTTCTTTAAGGGTTCATTTTTGTGAGCAGAGATAATATATGGAACTGTTAGGATGTGATGAGCAGATATTTCAATCATGTTTTGCCAAAGTATAAATGATTGTAAGAGGACTAAAGTGGTAAAAAGCATGGCTGAGGTAAGATAAGCCTGAACAGATATATGAAAAAGCCACTTTGTATAGGAAATTCATACTAAGTTTAGTGTTAGCAAGCAGAATGCAGTATTGTCCAAACTCTAAGCTGCACAAGTACAAATATACTAATTGTAATGGTGTTTACAGCTTTCTAGACACGCCTTGAAAGATTCAGCTTCAAACATGCTAAATCCAAACTCTTTTAAAATTCTGTTTGATCCAACTCTACCCATAGATTGTTACCGAGCTGCTCGACCTGCATTACCCTAACGACTTTCATGCTTCAAAAATATAACTATTTTATGAGGAATGTGGGCTAAGTTTGTTCACATCTAGATAAAAACATGCAGATGAAAGAGCAAATGATATCATATAATGTATCACGAATCATTCTCTCAGTGATTATTAGGCTTTCTTCCTGTTTGCCAGTCCTTCAGGTACACTCCCTCTCTGCCTGTAATTCTGGAGGTTTACTGCATGATTTAGATGGACATATCCTGCTCTGCAGATAATCTGCCAGGAGAGCACTTCAGCATTAATCACTGTGTGCTATTAGTGGTAAACAACATGTCATTTAGACTATATGGTTTACTTTGTACTATCTGGTTGTGTAATGGCAATGCTGAAATAATGAATGATGAACATACTTCCCAGGTGAAGTTTCAGATGAATGACTATTCATGGTAGCTGCCATAAGAATTTCATGATTTACTTATGTTTTCCACGAGTATGCTTTTACTCATCCAAGCAAAAATTCAATAACCAGAAGAACAAACTTGTTCTGCAGATTCTGAGAAACAGTCAGGTCAAGAGTTCCCTAAGCTTCAAGCCCTTTTCAATGTGTAGAAGAGAATTTCAGCAATCACAAAGCAGATAAGTGCTGCATTTCTACCCGTTTTTTTTTTTTTGGGGGGGGGGGGGCTTGTCCTTGTGGGGAAAAAAGTTGATTAAAACTGTTGGGTTTTTCCATTAAGTTTTGCAGGAAAGGAAGTTAGTGAGCAAAGAACTGGAGGACAGAAGCTCCTGAATTTTAAAACCAGCTCCAATAATAAATTTTTCTGTGAGTGTTGGTAAATTTTGTGACTGTTGATCAATTATGCGGTGTGACACACCAAGAGTGTCTGTTTGTTTCAAGCAAATAATGTGCAAAAACTAGCATCTCTGATAAAGCTGGCCTTTCATTTGTGAAAAACCTGTCATCTGTTTTCAGTTTTGCTCACACTATTAAACTTATGCCTCATTCTTTTTTGGATTTCAGGGGGAGTATTTTTGTAACTGTGAAAGGAACAAAACATGGCCTTTGGAAGGCTTTGTGGTCAAAGGTGTTGTATAACCACCAGTTATTTATTATGAAATGAATGCACTCTTCTTCAAGTGAATTCCAGAATGAATATCATATGACATGGCCGAGAGGAAGTTTGTTTATCCTATAGACCAAAGAAGTGTTTGTCTTAATAAAATAATAACGTTGTTCATTTATCTTTGGAGAATTAATCTGGTGTGTCTGTCAGCTAAGCTTTAGGGCCAGATTTTTCCACCCTGATTCACCTTGTCAATTATTTTTTCATGTGAACAGGCCTACATAAAGTTCAGGTCATACTGTGTGTGAAAGAAAAGAAGGAACAGCCATGTCTTAGGGTCTATTCTGGGCAGCTCTGAGTCGAGCAATGACATTGACTGGGAATATAACTAAAATAATCTAGCCAGTAACATTCTTACATTGGAAATAAAGCAGTATCAGCCAAAAGAAAAAACAATTAGATTTAATTAAGCTAGTATATAAGAAAGATTAGAGGCAATGGCATTTCTTCCCTTTGAAAATAAAGTGTTTCAAAGTAACCCTAGCAAAAATCTACATAGAAGCAGCTGGAAGAAAAAGATGGATGGATGGATGGATGGATGGATGGATGGATGGATGGATGGATGGATGGATGGATGGATTATTCAAATAGTCTTCTAAATATTTAGAAAACTCGAGTAAACAAAGGGTAGTAATTTTGGTGTCAGTCTGCAGTGAGAGTGAGTTACATCACCTTCTTCATTGCTCAAGAGCCCTTTCTCTATGGAAAAAGACTGGAATGAAACAGACTAGCATGTATAGAGTAAAATGTGCTTTTATTCATAAAAATTATTCTAATCTGCCAATACTGCCTGTGCAAGATCTTCGTGGAATACTGTACCCATAATAATTCAATGAATGTCTTCCAGTCAACAGATATTGACCACGATGTGAGTCCAAGGGCCATGGCCATCACAACAACAGTTACAAAATGACATTTCTCACTAAGCAGTGGCATACAAATCACAAAGGCATGGAACATATGATAGTCAAGACATGTCTTTTCACCTTCCTCTGAAAGGCCATGTCCAAGCCTGTGCTTGAGCCAAGACATAAGACTAGCCAGACCAGCAAGGTCTAACTGATGTAGCAAATCCACATTTGATCTGGCTCTGAAGTGTTTTTTCCACACACAGCCTGCAAACAAACTCACTCTTACCACTGGTTTTTTCACTCCATTATTGATAATAATGACATCTCCTATGTGCTCTTACCCTCAAATCATCAAATTCAAATAAGAGAGAAAATAAATATATGAAAACAGAAAGGAAAGCAAAGCAATCTGGAAGAAAACTTGCATGATCTTCAGTAGGGCCATGTTTATTTTTGTATTTTAAAATTCATTACGTAAAAGTCTCAATTCTTTCTGCAACATATAGCTCCAACTGCATCTTACAAAAACACCCCTCTGATTGCTTCCAGACCAGTCCCCATGTTATTTTACTTCTTCAACTGAAAAAGCCCCCAAATAAAGCAATTATTTTTCTTTCATATTATTTTGCAGTTATTTGCCCCTCTCCAGGCCCAGGAAATCCACCAGAACCATCCTATTTTATTCATCATTACACATACAGTCCAAATTTCTCTACCCTCTATTTTGAAATTGAATTCTTGCCAAAGAGTGACTAGCATACTCACAAACATTAAATCTGCATGCATAATATTTTACCAGCTCTCTCTTTAAGGAATATCTGGGTGCTGCTGTAACTCCTGGCAAGATCTGCTCCAAATATTTACAGCACTACAATTCAAACTGTGGCTTATGATTTTTGGTTCTGGAGGTCTCAGCTTTGGTTCTCTACATTTTGTCTACCAGGTGACTGCCGTGCTGTAAATCCGGCTGGAAATTTATGACCATGCAGTGACACAGTCATGACTGTGACTATAAATCTAAACCTGAATGCTGTCAGCAAGCTTCCCTTCCTTCACTGTTGCATTTTTAATGCCTGAGCTAACTAAGATTATTCGAATTGCTTCAACCATTTAAAATATTTATGCTGCTACGGAAGTCTTAAGGTCATAAAGAAATTGCTGCTAATAGAAGCAATGTATTACCGGAGTCAGTGTTTGTGATTCTTAACTTTTTCCTGTTCATGACTCACCCCATTCAGTTATTTAGAAGTGCACATTTTGTAAAAGGACTGGCTTCTTTACTAAAAGGACTCTTTGCTGAGGTACAGTCATTGCAAAACAGATCCAAGATTTGGAACTGAGGGAGTGAAACAAAAAAGAAATTATAAACACTGATTCCTGCATTATTATTTGTATACACTGGTATTGCACTACCAATGATCTGCCAGAGAAAGTCAAGGGAAAGACAGCAAATACAAAAATGTATATTCAAAATCCATTGAAGATCTGGCCTGGAAACTCAGTTTCTAAAATAGCCAAGGCCAGAAACATCTTCACACTTATAGTTGGAAGCAACTGTGAAGAAGCTGCTGTTTTATTCTACCACACTGGTTCAGAGGGGAAAGAAGGGGAAATTTGCCTCCTGGTGTAGACTTACATTTCCTAGTACTTCCCCTGATTTTTACCTTGATCAAACCTAAATCCCAGAGCCTAAGAGGCAAGCAGAAATCTGGCTGTGTACAGGCTCCAGATCTGGGTATCTGCATTATTTGTGTTTTGTACAGATTTCTAATTCAGGGAAGAAAATACTTAGCTATAAGACATGGATAACACTGCAGGTTAACTTATCACAACAATTTTCCTGAGGCTTTTCTGGCTATCAGTTTCCTACCTTGTCTCTCTTCCTTCAGCACCCCAGCTCAGGAAGAAGGGCAGGGCACAATTGCCCTGTTCTGCACCTCTCTATAAATCAGTTTCTAGTCAGACAGCTTGCAATGGGACTCCAAGTCCTAAAATATTTTGGTGCTACTAAAATATTAAAAGCATTTGAGTGGAATTATAGAATTATTTGTTATTAATGGAAGTTTATTTTTCCTGGAGAAATAGAGTGATTTCTGATATTATAGAGAACTTTGTTAATCAGACTATTTTTGAAGCAGGAACTAAAGAGGGCAAAATGTGG